CCCCCACAGCCACCCCGTCCTGCCGCACTGGCCCTGGTTACCTGGGGCAGGAACATCTGCAGGGAGTCCTGAGTGAGGATGGCCGTGGCGGCAGCAGAGGCGGGCAGCACAATCTTCTCCGGGCTGGGCGCCAGGACCGGGCTGGGCTGGGGGGTGGTAGCCTGAGGCGGGTTGGCAGCCTGGGGTGTGGGGGCCTGTGCTGGAGGCTGCTGCTGCCCCTGCGGCTGCTGGAGGCCCAAAGGCAGCGGGGTGCTGGCCGCGGGGGGCGCCTGGGGGGCAGTCTGCACTGTGAGGACAGGCGCGGCCTCCCCAGCGGCGGCAGGTGTGGCCGGCTGCACCAGACCGTCGGAGGTGTTGAGCATGGCCACGGCGCTGGGGGGCAGAGTGACCCCCTGGAGGACAGTCGTGGCAGTGGGGCCAGTGGGTGCTGGCTGGCTCTGCGTGGGCAGGCTGCCCGCAGCCAGAGACACGGGCATCTGGAAGAGAGCCGGCTGGCCCACCTGGATGGGGGCCGAGAGGATGTGGGCTGCACTGTGGGCCCCGGAGTGGGGGGCCAGCACGGGGCCCAGGCTCAGAGGGCCTGCCAGGTTCTGGTTGGTGAGGATGGGGTTTGCGATGAGCTGTCCGCCTGCGTGGGGGGCTGCGGCTGCCAGGATCTGCCCGCCCACGTTGGCCGGCAAGGCCGAGAGCGACTGGGGGAGCTGGACCGCAGACCCGCCGGACAGCAGGAACTGGTTCTGGCCGGGCAGCATGTGCTGGGCGGGGATGACGATGCTGCTGCCTTGGTTCAGGAGGTGGACGCTCATGGGCTTGCTCAGGGCGCAGGGCGGCTGCGGCGGGGCTGCCCCCGTGGTGGTGGCGGGGGGCTGCTTGAAGACGTTCGCCTGCAGGGCAGGCGCCGGGAAGCCCGACAACACCACGTTCTGGCCGGCCTTGCCTGCTGCCATGAAAGTCAGGTTCTGGGGAGCCTTGGGTTGCTGCGGGAGGCTCCCCGCCTCACCCTGGATGGTGAGCGTGGCGCCCGCGGGGGCGAAAGGCTTGGGTGTCAGCTGGTAGAGCTTGGGGGGCAGCACACCGGCAGGCTTGGGCTGGATGGGCGTGGGTGTGCGGTGCAGAATCATGTTGGGCGCAGGGACCAGGGGCGATGTTCCGAGGCCCGGGGCCACCGCCAGCTGCTGCCCTGAGGGTGCCCCGGTGGCTGCTGCGGTGGCGGCGCTTGCTCCTCCGAACACCGAGTTCCCGTTGAGTGTGGTGGCCACGGCAGCAGGAAGGTTCTTCTGGATGACCAGGCCGGCCCCCTGGGGCGAGACACCCGCTGATGCCAAGGTTACTGGTTCCGAAGGGCCAGCCGCCGAGGCCAGATAGCCACTGACAGGCACCTGCTTGGCCAGGAGCTGGGAGGTGGGCGGGTTGAGCGCCATGACGGGCTGGCCCACCACCTGGATGGGTGCCAGGCCCAGTGTGGCCGCTGTGGCACCTCCAGGGCTGCCATTGGGCAGGCCCTGGAGGCCAGGGATGGGCTGCAAGGTCACGTTGCCCAGGCCCACGGGTTGCAGGAAGGGTTGGACACTCAGGGCTTTGTTGACCACATCCTGGGGTGGCACCAGGGCCTGGTGGGTCAGCACGGTGGGTGGGGCCTGTAGTCCCAGCAGATCTGTGCCACCTGGGAAGAGGGCCTGGGGCCCCGAGGCCACTGCGGTAGCCCCTCCAGCACCCACTGGGCCTGCCCCGCCATCTGCGGGCTGCAGCGTGGGCAGCTGGAAGGGGCCCAGGTCCAGCTCAGCCTCTGCTTCGAGCGTCTGCTCGGTGATGTTGGCCTCTTGGAGGCTCTGCTGGAGGATGTCACAGGGTTGGTCAGAGCCTCCGCTGCCCCCACCACCCCCTGCGGAGGGCGAGGCCAGGATGTCATCCTCCAGGAAGTCTAGGTCCACACTGGGGGCTGGCTGGCTAGGCTCTGGGTTCAAGTGGTTGCCAGAAGCTTCTTGCACGTGGAGCTGGAGGCCAATAAAGTGGGAAGGAAAGACCCGAGATTAGCAAAGGGCCGGGCTCAGGGCACAGCTAAAACTGAGACTCTTGGTGTTGGGGTGGCACAGTTAGAAAGAACATTCCATCTGGAAGTGGCTGGACTCGGGTTCAAATCCCAGCTCCACCAGGGCTTAGCTGTGGCGTTTGCTTAACCTGGCCTCATGCCTATCTGTTCAAATCGGTAGAATGTAATGAAAACCATTTACTAAATAGTTGTACAACAGTCCTTAATTCTCATCTGCAATTCGTAAACCCCAAAGGGTCCAGAAACCACGAACGCTTTTATAATGCACTGGAAGCAAAACCTGACCAGAACGGATGCGGTGCTCTTGGGGAAAGGCAGAATTTATCCACACAATGTGACCCTTCTTAAGTCTGACCACGGAAAGGTGAGTGAGCGTGTTGTTACGTGTAGCACACACACACCCTGCATCACCTTTCCAGAATCTGAAAAATATCTCACCCCAAAGGTTTTGGATAAAAGATAGTGGTTCTTTTAAACGTAACAGCAGCACCCGCTACTGACACGAGCTTTACTCTGTGCCAAGTCGCTGTGAGCCTGATGTTTCTTAACTGCTTTCCATGCCCGATCCAGGACACGCGGGTATGAATACGTGTATGCATATTTCAGCAAGTATTCTACAGGCACTAAGTATGCTCAAGGCATGAATCACCGTGATATTTGACTAGAGAGCCTCCTAGGGTGGCCGTGACATTCAGTAACATCGCATACAGGAGGTGCTTGGGGCCCAACCAGGGGCCATGTGGGTGTTAAAAAATGACAGCAGTGATGAGAATGGTGACCATGGGGTACGAACACAGGCTCATCCTCAGTCCTGGATCTACAAAGGTAATAACATGAAATGTCTATTTCTTGGGTTCTGGATGTAATCATTTATATTATGAAAGATAAGTTATGTGGAATATATTATTATAGCTATAAGAACTGAATAAAAAGTACTGTGAAGGGCCCGGTGTAGAATACGTGCTCAGTAAATAATAGTTATGACGATGAAGAGGGAGGAGGGGAAGGGACAGAGAAGAGGGGGAGGAAGAAAAGGGGGGGAGAGGAGGAGGGAGGCAGAAGCAGCAGGAGAGAAGAGGAAGGACGCTGACATTCAGTAATGGGCATGCAGTAGGTGCTCAATAAATGTCCGCTGCGTTCCCCACTCTGGATTTTGTCCATCATCCCGCCTTCACTTTCCAGATGGAGACAGGTTCATATCAGCTGATCCCCTTCCCCTACCCAGGTCACTCCTCAACAGCTGAGCAAGGATAGGCTCCCAGGCCCCCACATCTCCTCCCCAGAAAAGTGAACCCCAGTGAATCCCAGAGTGGGCATCTGCCCCCACTCCCCAGGACAGCTCTGCACCAGCTGACCTCCAACGCTCTACCCAAGGCCAGGGTCGAGTCAGGGCGGCCCAGCAATGGAGGTTCCACCTCCCCCACACTGCTCTCAGTGACTGCCCCCTGCCTGCCCTCCACCCAGCAAACTGCATCTTCCAGACGAGTGTTAACCCCTCCCTCTTGCCTTCGGGGCCTCCCTCCCACCGGCTGCCGCCATGGGCAGCTTAGGTGCCGATGGAGCCTGTGGCCCCCCCAAGCCCCAGAGCCACTTACCCCAGGACCTTCATAGAAGGCACTTTGGGCCTCCCCGGGATTATCCAGGAGGTCATCACCGTCCAGCTGCAACAAGACCCGCCCCCACCCAAGGTCAAAGGTCAGCTAGGCAGTGAGCCAGCCCCTGCTCTAGAACAAAAAGACAGAGATGAGGTAGGGAGCAAGGCATCCCCAATACTGAGTCCCTCAGCCTGGCGTCCAAGGTTCTCCTGGCATCATGGCTGCCGTGACTAGAGAATCCTGCCTCCACACCTTTGCTGTGCAGGCCCCTGCCTTTCGCCCTTCGTCTCTTTGGTAACACATCCCTTAGGGCTTGTCCTATATGCCACCTCCACCCAACAACTTTCCACCCCTTCCCACTAAGTCACTCCAAGTACCCGCCACGTCCCCCCAGCCAGGTGCCTAATTCGCCCGCTGCATGTGTCTCTGGGAGGACAGGGGCTGGGCTGATTTCCAAGAACACCTTCAGTACCTAGGACAGAGCCTGGCTCTGCATAAGTGCCCAGCGAACATCTGTCTGTGGCCACGGTGGCCTCTCCAATCTCTCTCCAGCAGGGTGCCTCTCCAGAGCCCCATACTGGTATATCCGACTGCCTCTCATCCATGGATTTCTGGAATCCACCCCAAACTCCCAATCCCAGAAATTGGTATCACAACTCAGTAGCTCAGGCCAAACAAAATCCAGGAGGTATTCTGGACACTCTCTTCCTCAACATCAAGTCTAGTTGACTGCCTCCCAAAGCCAGTACCTGGCTCCTCCTTGCCACCTGCCAGGGGGCCCAAGCCACCATTGTCCCACTACACTCGCTTAAGGTACTTATCCTTTCCCCTTCCTACAGGTGTGGGCTGGCTCAGTAACTTACTTCTAGTGAATACAATCTGATGGAAGTGACAATCTGTGACTTCAGAGACTAGCTCATAAAAGGCACTGAGCTTCTTCTGGCTCTCTCCCTTGGGTCACTCGCTCTGGGGAGCCAGGAGCTGTGTCCTGAGGATGCTTAAGCAGTCCCAAGGAGATGTCCTCATGGTGAGGAGCTGAGGCCTCCAGCCAACAGCCATGGGAATGAGTCGGTGTGGAAGCACTTCTTCTGGCCCCAGGTAAGCCCTCAGAAACAGCAGCCCCAGCTGACACCTAACTGCAACCGCAGGAGAGACCCTGGGCCAGACCACCCAGCTAAGCTGCTCCGATTCCTGACCCTTACAAACTGTGAGAGCTCTAACAAATGTTGTTTTAAGTCACTAAGTGTTGGGACAATTTGTTATGTAGCCCTAGATGACTGATACAACTCCTGTGGTTCAACAGACTTCTGCTCTCCTCAGCTCCACCCCACTCTCTGGGGTGACAATTGAATATGGCATTCTCCTGCTTAATAACACACCAGAGCAGCCTGTCACATTCAAAATAAAACCTAAATTCCTTGATCCAGGTCTTCCAGGCCCTGCATGACCTGGTGACTTTTCTCACCTCCTACTACACTCCCCTTCAGTCCAGCCCCACCTGTGCTCTTTCTGTTCCTCACATGCCACCGTGGACCTCCCTTTGATCCTTCAGGTTCACCTTAAATGTCGCCTCCTTAGAGTGGCTCTCCCTGACCACACTTGCTAAAGAAGCGCTCGCCCCCCACCCCACTCATTTATCTTTTAAACCTCTTTTGTTATGCAAGTGACACTACTATTTCCCATCCTATTCTGTCACCTTTATTGGTTACTGGCTACTCTGCTGACCAGGGAAATGTGTATGGCGTCAGGACAGGAATTTGTCATCTTTTTTGCCCTCTGCCACAACCCCACTGCCTGACTCACAGAAGTCAGGGGGCAGAAGTCTACTGCATGGGAACATGTCAGCCCCCATTCCACAGCCCCTTCCCTGGAAATGCCTCCCTCCCCACCACTCACCTTCTCGGATCCATGTAAGAAGTCATTGAGGGCCTGAGGGTCACTGAAAGAGAGAAGAGAAGAGGCACTGAGGAGGCGAGGGGTGGGCGGGGGAAG